AGAACTTCCTATACTGATGATCTCTAAGATCCCTTTCCTTTCAATGATTTTAAAATTGAGCTATGTCTTTATCCTCTACAAAATTTCAGAAAATTCATTGATTTTACAAAGCATACATATTCAGCAGTAAAAACCCAAAGTCATCCCTTTCGTGTAAAATACAAGTTACAAATAAAATTTGAGTGCTTTAAAAAAAATGTAAATTCTCAGATGCTAAATATTGCACCTGACTTAGAACATAGTAACATCTGGGTAAATGAGCCTCAATGTCATTGTTTCTTAATTTGGAAGGACAAGAGCTGCCCCTAACTGTTGTGCTTGTTTGTTTGGTTATCAGTTGTTTGGTATTTACAAAAGTGCTTTGAAATCTATAATGTGTTGTACTCTTATTTATATAATTCTTTCAGAAAAACATGAAGGACAAGAGCTGCCCCTAACTGTTGTGCTTGTTTGTTTGGTTATCAGTTGTTTGGTATTCACAAAAGTGCTTTGAAATCTATAATGTGTTGTACTCTTATTTATATAATTCTTTCAGAAAAACATTTGAAATGGCATTCAAAACACATTTTTTAAAAAATGAGAGAAACAGTATAGGAAAATGGGGGGAGGGAGAGTAAAATAATACAGTGAGTCTGAGCTCAACTTGAGGCAAAGAAGTGATCTCAGAGGATTCTGTATAATTAACAGTACAGGATTATTGATTTGACTCCAAAATGCCAAACTAGTGATAAAAGCAGAGGAGAAAACACAGTCAGATGCAAAGTTTGCCATGAATACATTGTTAGAACATCCCAATCTTCTAAGGAGAGAGATAGACTTTTTTGGTTTGAAGCACTGAAATAAGTTTCCTTACAAAGGGAATATATGATAAAGTAGGACAATGTCTGACAGTTTTAAATAAGCATATTTGCAGCTCACAGCGCTCCTCAATATAAGCTGAGGGAGTAATATTGAAATACAATTCAATAAATACCTTTATTGATCTAAATACACAGTTCTATATTGTATATCCACCTGGATCTTAGCATAAATTTACTACATAGAGGAATGAATGATCTGCATATCATTCAAGGAATATTCAGCAAATATGAGTTCACATACAAGATTAAGCATAGACTCTTTTTCATTAAAGGCAGATCCACATGCCTTAATGATCACACAAGTAAAAAATAGTTTTTGACAAATTCTTAATGAGAACTAAGGAGAATAAACAAGGAAAAATCAGGTTTTATCCTTGTTTTGATAGCAGTGTGTGTTCAAAAGATTGTCACCAGCTCATGAACCTAAAGAAAGGAGGTTCTCACCTTTTTGAACATTATTGTGATAATTCATAAATATTTCTGAATGCTTCAGAAATTAAACTTATTGTGAGTTCTAACAACCTATGGAAAGAGAGATGCCTTGAGAAGAAGTTTCTGATGCTACAGTTTGATTCTGGTCCTGTTTGCTTACTATAGGGTCAGAGCCAATTCGCAGAGCAGGAAAAAGTGGCACCTCAACCCCCACGACCCCCGGATCAACTGCCATCACTCCTGGCACCCCACCAAGCTATTCTTCACGCACACCTGGCACCCCTGGAACCCCTAGCTATCCCAGGACCCCTCACACACCAGGAACCCCCAAATCTGCCATCTTGGTGCCCAGTGAGAAGAAAGTCGCCATCATACGTACTCCTCCAAAATCTCCCGCTACTCCCAAGCAGCTTAGGCTTATTAACCAACCACTGCCAGACCTGAAGAATGTCAAGTCCAAAATCGGATCGACAGACAACATCAAATACCAGCCTAAAGGGGGGCAGGTAAGAATCGCATGAATACATATTTTCTGCCAGAAATAAAGTCCTACTGATTATTATGTTGCCGTCTTCATATTACAAGCTAACAGTTCTTAAAATAAAAGGAGGTGGAGGTGTTAAAGAGTTACTGGTTACAATTCATTGCTAAGAGTTTGGACCTTATTAGAGAAAGCTAACCCATCAAATATAATGAAAGTCACATGAGATGGCCATTCCTTCTGGCTATTATTGAATAAAAGTTAGTTTAGTCATATAGGAGAGTCTTTTAGTTGGTGCCTAACAGATCTTTTCTGAATTTGTCTCTATTGCTTTATGAATTTGTGAAAGTTACATTTCTGATATGAATTTGACTTTTCTGTTTTAGATCCTGATCTTTTAGTGATTCCAATTTTGTCTCCTTTCTTCCCCAAAGATTTTTTGTGTGTGTCTATTACTTGAATTTATTTTACACTAGATGGTGGGCACAAAACAATCCACCTTAATAAAGTTGACAATTAACTTCACTCAGAATATTTTTAATAATGCACATCTTAAAAAAGTATTAATCTTACAAATTGTTCTGCAGTCCAAATATACAATAGCTTGGAAAACAACATTTAGAAAACAAAAGCCAATGTAAAAAGATAGATTGAAACAACTAGAACAGTACAGCTTTTATATGGCTCGGATTTTAGTTTTCTTACTGCATCGTCAATGTCAGAAATTTGTTCTTTCAGCTGGCTCCATTGCTCTGGATTTAAGGAAATACCTTTTCTTCCTGGCTTCATTTCACCTTCTGGATCCATCCAATATTCTGTAATATCAATTAGAACTTTCCCTTTAAAGTCCAAAACACTAACGTACCTCATTTTCCCATTCTGAAACATGTTATCATCTCTGCTACTACTGTTCTGTTTGGAAGATGACAGAGCTCTCCAAGTTTCTCCAGTCTTTTGTTTCTCTAAAGGTTTTTCTGGAGCAACTTGCTTTTTCCTCTTTAACTTTTTGTCACCTTCACTGTCAGAATCACTGCCTGACGAGCTTGAAGAAACAAGTTCCTTTGATTTTGGCATTGCTCCACTCCCACAGTCAAACGGCCTCCTGCTTGCTTGCTTGCAACTGACCCCCCAAAATTATTTTACCATTTCCTCATGTTCGCTCCCAAATCAGAGCGTGGTTCACCAAGTTTCTTCTCTGGCTACTATTGCCTAAACATTGCAAAGGCCAGGTATTCACATTGATAATAAGACAGCTCTCTATGGCTCTGATGAATAAAATTGTAGCCTTTGAACTTCTACTTAAGGTTAATTGTATTGAATAGAGCTATCAGTAAAACTCACTTATTCACTTCAGCTTCAGAGCAAACATTCATGTCTTTTCCAACCAGGAGGCTTTGAGTTCTACCTCCACCTAAACCTTGCTTATACACTATATGTTTGGACAAAGCAATTAGCCTGGGAGGAAATAATATGCATACTATTTAATATTTCCCTTATAATATTGATCTACCCATGGAATAGTTGGACCTTTCTTATCATTGAAGAGATAAAAGAAAACATTCATCCTGGAAAGAAAAGACAAAGTTGGTAATTTCCTTTCTACATGAGCAAACTTGTAATGCCCTTCAGTACTCTGAGAAAGTCTTGCTTTTTTAACCTCGATATTTTCTTCTGCCACTTTTTTTCTTGTCTCATATTTTGTGCCAAATAAAATCTACTTTCAGGCAGGTTTAGAAGGAAGATCTTGCCAAAATGTAAACCTATGAAGGACTCCTACTCACCATCAAGACAAAAAATTCAGTGTTGCTCCTCCCTTTAGCAGCAAACTTCTTTGCTGTCTCATTATGGTTCCATTCAAGAAAGTCCAAGGAGTTAACAAAAATCAACCAATAGAGTGGGAGGGGAAGGATCAATATGCTCTTTTCAGAACAACTATAACATTCTGTAATAATATAGTCACAGAAAGGTGCTTTTTTATAAAAGATGTTATGAAAAATGAGCTACAAGAAACTTTTTTAAGCAAAAAAAGCACCAAATTCAAGCCTGTAATTTTAAAAACCTTATACTATTCTTGCGTTTATCAGAGTTTTGCACATCCAAGAGAAGGAAATATTTTGGGCCTTTTGGAAATATCTAAATGTTGCATTATTTTTATGTTTATACGTAGATAATTTAAAAGAGTAAGTTGAATAAAATCAATTTAGTTCCAGTTGGAAAGTTCTTTATTTTAGCTTTCAATAAGATACCTCTTAAAATAGAGTATCTATTATGTATATTTAAAATCAATTCTCTTTTCATAAATATTCCCATATCCTAGTATTCTCCTTAGCTAAATGTGGGGTTTACTTGCTGATATTCTGGGAAATATTAATACTTAAAAGATTATCTGTTGCTTCTGAGAATCACAAGGAAATATAAATGATCTCCAAGCTATTTTATAAACTAGAAAAAAATGTAATACAAAGAAAAATTATTGATACAATTTGACAGAGAAATTTTAAAATATATGATTTTGTTCAAAGGACCCCTTAAGGTAGAGAGGCAAAAAGAGTGGTTTTTGCTTTAGCTTTGCAGGAATCTCTAAAATTAAATCAATTCAGAAGGTATGAAGATATCTATTTTCTTTTTCTGCTTCTTTATTATATGCAGTTGTGAGTATTTCTGTCTAATTTTAATTGACTTCTATTATATTTGGTAATTCATAAAATTGATAAAGAAGTGTCATATTCTTTTGTGCTGAACTAAAATTGCCTTAGAGATTACAGTAGTCAAGGACTAGTGAAGACTATGACACAAAAAATTACAGAAAGAATAAAAATAGCCTAAAACTGTGTCATTTATAGAAAATCTCTTCTTTCATCAGATAAGTGATAACCTCCTACAAATTTATCCTATCTCAGCATCAGATGACTTTGAAAAAATTCATAGCAGCAGAGTTATGAAGTGACTTTTATTGCAGAAGCAGGAGGCATTTCCTCACCAAGATAAGAAACAGATGGAAGATATGTGCCTCCTATTTTGTGATACATGATATAAATGCATTTAAATTGGAGGGAGAAATGAATGGGGAAATTGATATGCATTACAATTGAACTGTCTTTGTAAGGAAAATATATCATTCACCACTTTAGCGCTATTCCCTTAAAAGCCTCCTGACAGTGTATATGATCTTCTCAAATACAGAGAAAGAGGAGAGGTTCTTTTTCTGCGCATAATAAACTGGAGATTTTGACTGGATTGTTAGAATTCCCACTTCATAGAATGACTAGGAAAAAAATTATGATAGGGTTTCTTAGAAACTATCAAAATGATATGTTAAAAACCTTTATTATCTGGGCCAGCCTTGTGGCGCTGCGCATAATAAACTGGAGATTTTGACTGGATTGTTAGAATTCCCACTTCATAGAATGACTGGGAAAAAAATTATGATAGGGTTTCTTAGAAACTATCAAAATGATATGTTAAAAACCTTTATTATCTGGGCCAGCCTTGTGGCGCACTGGAGAGTGCGCCGCTTGGGAGCGTGGTGGCGCTCCCACCGAGGGTTCGGATCCCATGTGGAGACCGGTTCCCGCTCACTGGCTGAGCGCGGTGCAGGCGCAACACCGAGGGTTGCTATCCCATTACCGGTCAGTAAAAAAGACAAAAAGGAAAAAAAAAAAAAACCTTTATTATCTGATTGAGCATCTATAAATGTGCACTGTTGAAGAGACTTAAGCCACTGACGTATTTCTCCTGACTGTAAATTGATTATCCTGGGATATTGGAATGGACAGTGGCCAACTCAGAATCATTGAAAAGGATAGGACAATAGCTATGCTTTCTGCAGGAGCCAGGTTCTAAAATAATGACATGTGATCTGTACGTGTTGTGAAGAATATGCATCCAATTCTTATTAATGAAGATGGGAGTAAATTAGAAGATGTTGCTTTAATTCAGTTCATCTGCAGAGTCTCTATTGTGGTAAAATTTGGAGTGCTTAGAATGTATGTAAATGATTTGATTTTGAAATCATTATTATTGTTTTAAAGTTTATGCAATCACTAAGAATTGGGAGGAACAATGTATAATAAAAGATTTGTGTGTCTTGGGATCTCAACAACTTCCCAAATTGGAGAACTTTATTATTTGCCCGAGATTTGAACATTTATTGCTCTTCCATATGTATAGGTTTTGTGCTTATATCTCTTCTGCTAAAGTCCAATTTTCTATTGGCAGAGAAGCTCAGCTCAGTGGTTCAGTTCAGCAGGGCAAATCAAAGCCTAATGGAATAGATAAGCTAGCTGAAGATATGAGGAGCTTTACAGAAAGCAGTAAAGTTAATCATTTCAGCTATGATATAAATTCATTCTACTGGAAATAATTTGTGCAATCACAGATTCACTGTAGGTAGTAAGCATGGTTAATTTAACTCAAGGCATAGGTAAGACTATCTTACTAAGTATATTAATTTGAAACTATCTCTATGTAGTTAGCCCCCTCATCTATATTCAATCTAAATTTTAGAATAAGTAAATTTAGCTTTTTAAGAACACAGCTGCTTGGATAAACAGAGGTAGGAAAAGAAATGATTTCTATAAACATGTAGCATAAAAACATTTAGACAACAACTTGATTAGTGGCATTTTTTACCTTTTCTGTTTTGAATCAGGATCTTTTTAGGTACTGTGATTTATATGAAATACTCTTACACGTTTTGAGAGTTTCTTGTTTTTTCTCCATCGATCTTATGAAGATCAATATAAAATGTGCAAGTTATATGCCCTTGTAATAGTTGAAAGTTAGTAATGAGACCATTTCACAGAGGTTGTTTTCATTCACTGTTCAATGGATGGGGTGGTTAGTTAGATCAGGATCTCTGCAAGACCATGCATGTCTCTGGATTTGACTGATAGTCTTGTGAATTACATGCTTTTGCTTCATTCACTGCCACACACAGCCATTTTCAGGTCAGCTAGGCTTAGAATGGTGGCATCTTCAAGCAAGTCACTTTTTTTTAAGGAAAGAATGGTACTTGTCTTTTACTTAAAGAACCTTGTGGAATTTGCCAGCCTATTATCTTCTCAGTCAGTGTTGTCCTAGCTTCTTTAAAAAAAATTTTTTTTGTTCAGATAAATCTATTAGACCAGAATCTATGAAGTATATTGTTACATTCTAGGAATAAAGCAATCTAGTTCCTATCTTCCAGTTCTATATAAGTCTATTGAGTTAAAAGATATTGGAGGTCAAAGATATATATCTCTTCCTACTCCAATCCTCACATTTTCACAGAATAATAAATAAAAGTCCTCACATTACCCACATCTTGCAGATAGGACTTCTAATATTATCCTGTAATGGCTGAGCTTATAAAGTCAGAGCCTGTAATTTGTATTTAGTGAATAATTAATCACTTATCTACAAAGTATGTAATTTTATATAACTAGGTCTTTTTTTGTTTGCTTTAACATTTGTTGCATAATATGAAAATGGTAATTTTATTTAACAGTGCCTTCTAAGCCAAAGTTTTTATTACATCAGAACTGAAATTTGAGGCTTCAAAACTTTTATAATATTTTCATGAAAAATTTAATGCAAATAATGTGTTATATTGATACACTACATTAAATTTAGAAAGTGATGTTGCATTTTTATTATATTTTTTGTTTTCTTCTACAACTGAAATTATTTAAAAAATAAAAATCAAGGTTTTTAAATAGACTATAGCTGAGTAGTATTTCATTTTGTATATATACAACATTTTCTTTATCTATTTATCTGCCAGTGAGCACCTAGGTTGATCAGCCATAAAAATGAATAAAATTCTGTCATTTGTGGCAACATGGATGAGCCTGGAAAACATTACACAAAGTGAAGTAAGTCAGGCACAGGAAGATAAACACTGCATTGTTCTCACTCATATGTGGAAGCTAAAAAAGTTGAGCTTTCAGAAGTAGAGAGTAGAATTTTGGTTACTAGAGGCTGGAAAAGAGATGGGGAGAGGGGAAACGGGAGAGGATGGGGAACAGGTACAAAATTACAGGTAGATAAGAAAAATAAGTTTTAGTGGTCTGCAGTATTAGGCATCTGTAATTAACAATAATTTATTGTATGTTCTCAAATGGCTAGAACAGAGGAGC